GCGCATCCTCCCGGAACCCAGCTCCAAGGTCACCACCTCTCGTGAGGCCTGCTTTCTTTCTTCCCCCGCTGTCTCTACCCGTAGGAACCTCCCCACCCATTCCACCAGCAGACCGTGAGCTCTCAAGTGTCAGGCAGCATCATGCCCTTCACCTGTGGCCCCAGCCCCTGGCACGGCATCCGATACACGGTAGGTGCCAAACGAGCAAGCAATTTGGCATCTGGCAGACACTGAAAATATTCACCAGATCCAAAGGTAATGTACCACCTTTTGCCATTAAAATCGCCCTGGTCCCTAACACAGCATCTCAAAGATGTAAGTGTGTAGCCGGACTAGGGTGCAGAACAGGGCAGGACATTCTACTCTGGAATGCCAGCATTACAGAATGCCCCCAGGACGAAAGGGCGGCCAGTGCCAGCCCCGAGCCCCTTCCACAGTCAGCACGCGAGGTGACAGGCAGCTTTCCCTCTGGCCTTAGCTCCGGCATCCCTTCGCTACACTAAGAAGCGGAGCTGGGCAAGAGGTGAAGGCAATTCCTCCCCCTCTTTCATGGAGGACCTGTTTGTTACTCTTCTCAAGTTCCAAGTGCCCAAGTTTCCTCCTGGAGGTAAGTTTGGAAAGACATCCGCCATCATGTTTTTTTCCACCTTTTTACGTGAGTGTCTGCTACATCGGAAGGACCTTCAGCAAACCCAGGACACCGCAGGGCTGACACCAGCCTAGCTGGAGCCTGCACCTCCTCCCCCAAAAGCAAAGCACTAGCCTAGCCTACCCTCTACCCACTGCAACCCCGTCATCGGGAAAAGAACAGCCAGCATCAAGAACACTGGTGATAGGGGCGCCTGGGTGGCTTAGTCGGTTAAGCGTCCGACTTTCGCTTAGGTCATGATCTCGCGGTTCGTGGGTTCGAGCCCCGCGTCGGGCTCTGTGCTGACTGCCAGCTCTGAGCCTGGAGCCTGTTTCAGAGTCTGTATCTCCCTCTCTCTTTGACCCTCCCCTGCTCACGCTGTCTCTCTCTCTCTCTCTCTCTCTCTCCTAGAAATAAATAAAAATATTAAAAAAAAAAAAAAAAAAAAAAGAACACTGGTGAGAGTCCGGCCGGGCTCGTTCCTGGACTGTTTCAGCCAGAATGACGCAGATATCATAAGCCACAGACACACTCGGGTACCAGCCCTACTGAGTCTACCCATGGCCTGGGGCTCTACCTGCCATGCTCCTGGCACAGGTGGCAGCGAGGAAGATGGGCACTGCCAGTCAGCAAGGTGCCAGCTAACTATGGCTCTAGACTAAGGTGTCTATCACCGCACCCTCCCTGCCCCACCCACCCGCGTCCTACATTCTTGGACCCCTAGGTACCCGGCGCCCTGCTGCAGTCAAGACTTCCCACCCCACCCACCCTGAGAGTCAAGACAAAAGCACCAAAACCCACTGTGAAGGGAGACACCCAAAGCAGGGGTACCTGCATGTTAGGAGGCTAACTGAAGCAGCCCCCCTCATTCACAGAAAAAGCAATTTCTTGGGGCGCCTGGGTGCCTCAGGCAGCTGGGTGTCCAACCATCGCTCAGGTCATGATCTCGAGGTTCAAGGGTTCCAGCCCCATCGGGTTCTGTGCTGACAACTCAGAGCCTGGAGTCTGCTTCGGGTTCTGTGTCTCCCCCTCTCTCTGCCCCTCCCCTGCTTGCACTCTCTCTCTCTCGCTCACCAGCTCTCTCTCTCTCTCTCTCTCTCACACACACACACACACATAAATAAGCTTTTAAAAAAGAGAGAGCAGGGGCGCCTGGGTGGCTCAGTCGGTTGAGTGTCCGACTTCGGCTCAGGTCACGATCTCACGGTTTGTGGGTTCCGGCCCCGCGTCGGGCTCTGTGCTGACAGCTCAGAGCCTGGAGCCTGCTTCAGATTCTGTGTCTCCCTGTCTCTCTGACCCTCACCTGCTCATGCTGTCTCTTTCTCTCTCTCTGAAATAAATAAAAACATTTAAAAACATTTAAAAAAAAAAGAGCAAGCAATTTCTCTAGTCTATGGCAGGACAGTAAGGGGCAGGATTCTCTTTGTCACTGGAATGTACTAGCTTTCTACAACATAAGACGCACGGCCGGTGACTAGCAACGAACAGACTCCTAAGCCCCAAAGTTGTCGCTGAGTACAATCTTCCTGGAATTTCCCCCCAGGTAAGGCCCTCCTTAGGAGACAGGATCCAGTGTTGGCTGGCAGCCAGGAAAATTAGCAGTCTGGTTTGGTTTTAACTGAAATGTGGACCTAGAAGTATTTCTGGTCCCCTCCCCCAGGGGATGTGAATGTCAGGAGTTGGACCTCGGCCACAATGGTCATCCTTGAGGACTGAGGCTTCCCCCCCAGTGGCCGGGGGATCAGTGATCCGAGGGAAAGCACGCGGAAGGGGCGAGTCGGGACCCCGGGACCACCGGGCCCGCTCTCCCTTCCTGCGAGGGCCTCCCGTCCGCCCCGGGCCGCTCACCTCCCGCGCGGAGCGGAGCTGCTGGCGCAGCGCGTCCTTGCAGCCGTAGGGGCCGCCGGCGCCCGCGCCGCGGGGCTGGAAGTGCGCCTCGACGCGCGTGGCGCCGCGGTAGGCGCCCTGGTAGAAGGCGGGCCATCCGAGCTCCAGCAGCGGCGGCTCCAGGTCCGACTGCTCGGGGAAGTAGGTGCCGGACGAGCAGTCGTGCGACGAGCCGAAGGACTCCTCGGCCCCCGCCGCCGCGCCCTCCTGGCCGGGCCGCTCGGCCGCCCGCAGGATGGCGCGCACCTCGTCGGGGTTCAGGAAGCGGCTCAGGCCCTCGCGTCGCAGGAAAGCCTCGAAGGCGCAGGGGCCGCCCGCCACCAGCTCCTCGAGCGCCAGGCGCCGCGCCTCGCTGTACAGCTCGGCCGGGTTGGGCGGCCCGCACGGCGACAGGCAGGCGGCGGGCAGCTCGTCCGGACATTCGAGGCGCAAAGCCATAGCGGAGCTCGCACGGAACGCGGCCGCAGCAGGCTCGGGCGAGCGCGGGCGTGCCGGCGGCTTTATAGACACCTTTGAATCTAACCGGCCTGCGTCCCGGCCCTCTCATTGGCTGCCTCCTCTAACGGCAGAGTCCCGACGCAACGCACGCCACCGCGGCCCCGCCCCTTGACGTGCGATTGGCTGCTCCAAGGCCCGGCCCCGCCCAGCCCTCCTCATTGGCTGGCGGCGGCGGCCGAGTCCAAGCTCTGGGGTCGCTCCCGTGGGTTTTAAACGGAGCGGCTCCACGGCTGTTCTGATGGGTTGTTCCTGCTCCGGGCCTGCGGGTAGCCGACGTTTTAAGGGTCAGTTAGAGAAGGGAGTAACGAGCCCGAATGGCTGGGCCGCGGCGCGGGTAGCGGAGCCTGAACGGAAGCCTGAGAGCCCGGCCCCCGCCGTCCTAGCGCGCCCCCTGCTGGCCGCGCTGCTCCTGGGCTCTCACTCAGAGCTTGGGCGTGACTGACCGACCAGTCCTGTCTCCGTAATCCCCTGCATTTAACTCATCGGTAAATTCCTTCAAAAATACTGGCTTTGATTACACGTTCAGGTAGCTTTGCTCGGCCAATCAGGTTATTGTCCTGGCAAAACCTCAACCGTGGTTAAACCCCCTCTCCACCTACTTTCCACCCGCAGCTCTACGGTCCTGGGAAAAGACAATGCAACCAAGCTGTCTGTGCCTTAAACTCACGATCTCAAGCGGATCCCTAAGATTGCCTGCTAGCCTACATTTCCCTCACTCATTCTACCTTTTCCTTTCGTTCTTATTCTTAGAGTCGGCTTCGTATTTCACTGAGAAAATAGAAGCAACCAGAGAGAACTTCCACATGCTCCCACCACATCTACCTATCCGTCCGCATCTCTGCCCACGTATTGGGCCTTCTGTTACTACCAGTGAATTGTCCCTGAGCCTAACACCAATCCTTCCACTGGGACATTAGCTTCCAGCCCCTCTACTAGTACCCTGTATCCCTACAGCAAAGTTCCTTCTCAGATCATCCATCCCCTTCTTTACTGCTTCATTCCTATGGGCGTACTGATACTGGGATATGTTTCATCTTAAATCAACCTTCCCCTGACCTTCCTCCAGAGTTTCTCCTCCATTTCTCTGCTTATTTTTATAGTATAAAACCTGAAACCAGCTGTCTACACTTGCTGTCTCCAGTTTTCCTCCCATTCTTTCTTGAACGGGTCTGAAGAGGCTGTGCCTCCACTGCTCAACCAAAATCTCTTGTCAAGGTCAGGAGGAGCTCCATGGCACTAAATCCAATAGTCAACTTTCAGGCCACATTCTCTTTGTGTAAACGAGAAAGGAAATATACAACTGTAAAGTGCTTCTTGATAAATGCGATCCAGAAGGGTCCAAGAGAGCACGGTTCTCCAGCCTCTTCAAGACACCAACAAACTTCTGTATATGACAAAGACGAGGACCACAGTCTGGGGCTGTGTGGCCACATAGCTTGTCAATGCCCCTATTGCTGGAAATAAAAAGTGAGAATAAAAAGTGACAGTAAGGGTCTTATCTGCCTAGTGTTGTAGTAATGTGAAGTAGTATAGAGTATTTTACCAGTAGAAGGACTGGGGTAGCGGGGTGGAAGACAGTAAGGCAGGTCGGTGCACTCCAAAAATAGAAGGGCAGCCCTGTTAGTTATACATGTTACCGGATAAACCCTTGAAAGTGGGGGGGGGGGGGGACTCATATACTTATGAGTTATTACAGAGTTCCATGTTATTCTAAAGGGAACATTTGACAAAGTGAAGGTCATTCCCAACCACCCTTCTTTTCTTGAATGTACTGGATTTCACCATCCCCCAATCTAGAAAGACATCCGCTCCGTGTCTGAGCCCTCGGAGCTCCCTCTGCTTTAGGGGCCTCCCAGGAGAGCCTTCTGTGGTGGGGACAGAAACCAGGAGCCCTCCCCTGCCCTCTATTCCGGGGATCATCTCTGTGTGAACTGGACCCAGCATAATGCAAGTGAAGCTCACAGCAATGACCACAGCCACACTAGCAGGTGTTATTAAAAGGAATTTAATAATCTTAATTAAAAACTCTCAACAGTGAATTCTGTCACAGGCCTTGGCAGCTGGAAGCAACCCCAGGGGCATGCCCCTTGGGGGTGTGGTCGAGCCACGGTCTTGGATCGAGGCCCACCACTGCCACGTGGCAAGGAGCTACCTGGAAGTTACTTCAATACAATATCAAAGATCCGCGAGGATTTTTTTTAAAAAAGTTTTAAATATATTAGACTCTCTTGATTGCCATTTTTACACAAAGCTGCTGATACAGTATACAGAGTTTTAACTTTTTTTTCACATAAAATACATTTTTCTTAAGTATTCTCTGTACATCAGTGGCTTCTGGTCTGGTGAATTATTGCGGAGGGCCGGGAGTCTGCGGACTTTTCCTCGGTGCACAGAGCCAGGCCCCACGCTGTGGCACTTGCAATGCCCATGGGAAGCAGGCCCTCTGGCCAACTGGCCAACAAGAGACTCCTGTCAAGGAGAGGTTTACGACTTCTGGCAAAGGGGGTTCACTTCTGCAGCATCAACCACTGACCACATGACCCTTTGCTCTTACATGCACTGGGATGCGGGAGGCTGTCCCCAGGCCACAATAGCAAGAGTTAAATACAGTCCCTCTGAGCATCTCGTAAGAACTGCCCTTCTGGAAAGTGCCCCGGTAACCTACTCTGGGAAGGCAAGTGGGAGAGAGCGCTCAAGACTGAAAGGTATCTGACACCAATTGCCAAAATGGTCTTGTTATGACAAAGTCAGGAAACTGTGGTGGTCTGGGCCAGGGTATGCCCCCTTGTTAGCTTTCCTCAGCCCACTGACACTGGCCAAACAGTGTGGAGCAGTTTGATCACAGCTGCATATTGGATGGAGAATTATGTCCTGAACTCTCCAGCAGACCTGAGCCTAGGGTGTATTCAACTTCCCTGAGCTCCTGGCCAGGAACTATCTGGTGGGAGCCACAATGTTCAGTGGTTTGAAGCAGCCTCCTTTAATCAGCCAGGCCAGACCCAGGTCTCAGAGTGAGCTGAGCATCTGGTATATCTTGCTAGCTTTCTCCTAGATCCTCGAACCACACCTGCCAGAGGGAGAGGCAGGTGCATGAGGAAAGGCTTCAGAGTTAGAGAAGTTCCTCACCTCCCATGATCCATTGGTGGGGCAGGAGGACTCCATAACAAAGGAGCAAAACTGAGCAAGAGGCAATGAGTTTCAGAACCTGAGATAGCAAATTCCAGACTCTTTGTTCTTCTACAAACTGCTCTTATACAATGCCCCAAAGATGCTGGCCTGAAGGCAGCTATCCCTGAAAGTTCCAGACAGATTTTCAATGCTGTCTCCACGGAACTCAAGATCCAGCATCTGCATTTAGTGGCAAAGTTATCCAGGGATGGCTGGGACGGCAGTTTCGCTGCGGGTTTCCTTACTCTAGAAATGCCAGAGCTAGAAACCAAGGTGAAGCTAGACCAGGATGGGGTCACTCTGTCGCAGGTGAATTCGGTGGGGCTCCTGATAACCTCAAGGTATCGGATGCTGGTCTGCAAGGGATCAAAACTGTAAAGCGCAGTCTCCTCACCCTGTTTTGCTCTTCCTTTATCCCCAGAGCCTAACCTAGTGCCTGGTATGTCTCAGCTACTCCGCGAATGACATGAGTGAATAAATGAACGACCCTGACCCCACCATGTCCCTCGACACCAAGGAGACCCATAGGTTGAGTTCTAAAGTACTCGAAGCCCTAACAAGGAAAGGCTTACCCTGACTGGAAACATGAGCTAAAATGCCCGTGAGTCTGCAGTTGGCTCCTGTCGGGAATCAGCTGGGATTTCCGGCCTTCTTTCCGGCTGGGAGATGAATGGCCCAGGAGGCAGGAAGTGAGGGGAAAGAGGGAGTGGCCAGAAGGGCTCAGAGTGGGCAACAAATGCCTTCAGTCTCTGAGCCCTAAGCCTACAGATCCGAAAACCTGCACAGCCCTCTCCTGGGAGCGTATGGCTTCCCTTGGCACTCTTCTGTTTGCAACTTAAGTTGGCTCAAGAGAAGTTCAGGGTCAGTCGAATCTGAACACTATTTTAAAGCCAAAGGTGTGTGTGTTCTGATCATTCCTGCCCCGCTCCAGCCATGGGCCGACACAATGGAGAGCCTGCCCCAGAGGCCAGGGGCGTGGGAGGCACCACGCGTCCCTGCCTGTGGTCTCCTGAGCTGCCCCTCCACCCTATGCTGGATCTGCCCTGGGGTGGGGCTGGCCCACGGCTGTGACCCTTGCTGCTCCCAGGAGCCAGCCACCAGGTGCACAGTGGCTCTGCTGAGCCCTCTACTCTCTGGTCCAGATGCCTTGCTCCTGGGAAAGCATCAGCCAGGCCCCTGGGGTCCAGCTCCCTCTCTGGGTTATGGGGCCATGGAGGCCACACTGGGGACTGGGGCTGATAAGCGGCAGATCCCATTACTGGAATTGTGGCACAAGGGGACTCCTCCAACCCCAGCTCCCCGGCCCAGGTGCCCCTCAGGGAGAATTTCTCATAGGCTCAGAAAGAAGATTAAAGGGAACCCAGATTTGTCCCCCAAGTCCCAGAATCTGGACCTGGGGGGGGTGGCCCTTCAGAGCTCCAAGGAGGTAGTTTTAGGACGAATAAAAGGCGCACAGAGCAGGGAACGACCCTGCAGCTTATTAAGTACACCAGTAGGTTTGGGCTGAGCCTGTGGACAGTACCCAACTCACGGGCAGCAACTTTGAAGGGGCTCTTGAGAAAATGCAGTCGAGAGATGACGGGCAGCTTGGTTTTCCTTCCCCAGCACCAGGAAGGTCAGGGCTATGAGACTGCTGGGCTGCAGTGAGGCCCAACTCTAGCCCCATCACCTCTCTTCTGACTGCAATGCAGGGTGTTGGCCATGGGCACCTTGGATCCACAGCCCTGGGATGTCACCACTCCCGCGAGAGCAGGCCGGGAGCCCCCGGACCAGGCAGGATCTCACAAGGGTCAACTGGCTGACTTGTTTCAGAGAAGGCAAAAGCTGGGCTGGGGGTCCTGAGCATTTCCCCCGGGAGAGGTGGGGGCTCCCAGCAGTCTCTCACTGCTCACTCTGATAGCTCAGTCCGAGGAAGTCTGGCTGACATAGGCTGGATGGAAACCACCTGGATATTCACAAGAATTGGCCAGGGCGCTGGGCTCTGTCAGGTCACCAGAGATGCCTACAGAAATTAACAACACAAACCCACTCCTCACCCTGGAAAACCCTTCCAACCACAGCTCCTCACTTAGCTTCATTTCCCCAACACCTGTCAGTAAAACCTAGTGATCATGATGCTATCCACAAAAGAACGCAAGAAAGCAAATTCTGTTATCTCCCACCGGCAGTTTTATGGCCTAAAAGAATTATTTTATCAAATGCGCTTTTGGAAACACTACCTTTATTCCCCCTCACCTCCAATTTTTGCTAACTTCCATCCAAAAGTAAAATATGATTTGGATTATTCCAGGAATGGAATAGCCTGGTTTCCTACTCAGCCTCTGGGTAGTCACACAGCTGGCCTCTGGCTCGGGCAAGGCCGTGGGAAGGAGGCCATTGCCCATCTCGTTGACCCTATGTGGGTCCCGAGCTTCCTCTGAACAACGAGTGGACCTCCTCTCCTGCCAGATGTGGACGGTGGCCCAGACCCCTGTGTGACCCTGGGCAGGACTGTGGGTCTCAGCTTCACAGGCCCCTCCCTCCCCTGCTACCACCACACTGGCAGTGGGGATGAAACGGAGTCTTAGCCTCAATCCTCTTGGGAAGAGCTCACAAATTCTCAGCCCCACCTGCTTCCCATGAGCCAAGCTGTGTCATTCCTACACATGGTTGAGCGTGTGTGTGTGTGTGTATGTGCATGTGCACGCCGATATGTGATATGCAAGTCCTAGTAGACTTCCAGAGAAGCCTAAACCGACAAGAGAACTGGAATCGAATCCCAGCGCCCCCCCCCCAAAATCTGACAGCAGGGTGAGTTAGGAAGCCACGATGGGCCTTGTTTCTGATGGCAGACAATGCAGCAGGAAGCAAAGCCGTGGGAAGTGGCGACGCTATGGGCCTCTGGGTGAGAGGTGGGCTCGGCATTCCTCTGGAAAGCCGAGCCCACCTCCCCGCCGGCTGCCCTCTGATGTCTCCCCAGCCAAGGGCTGCGGGGTGGGCCTGGATTCCAGAGATCCATCCCTGAAGCATCCCTCTCCTCTGTCACACAGAGACTAGGAGATGCGGCAGCAGCCATGGACCTTCTCCTCCATCTCCTCCATGGGGGCCTTGAACTTCAAGAGCGGGGGATCTCCGCTGGTCACCGTGTAATATACCGAGGTTCCGTTGCTGCTGTAGGGTGAAGTTCTGCCTCCGATCAAGGGGGCCTTGCCTTCACTGCTGCTCTCACCCGTCCTGGCCATGCTGCTGCCCAGGTGGGTGCTCAGGAAGGGATGACTGAGCAGCTTGGCTGCAGCCCGCTGCCGCTTCAGCTCCAGAAGGGTCTGGGGACTCTGTTCCTTGTAGCCACCCCAGGGCGAGGGGGCATTGGCCACGCCGGGGCTGCCATAGGCTATGTTGTAGTCAGGTACCTCATGCACTTTCCAGACATCCCCGTTGGACAGTGCATACTGGTAGGTGCTGACTGGAGCCCGGAGTCCATTCTCCACAGGCCCATCCATTTCACTTCGTGGGATCTTGGTAGAAAATTCGGAGAGCAGCACGGGCTTCTCCAGCCGGGGGTTCTGAGGGGGAGAAGGACAACATTACCAGCTGGTCAGAGGGTCCGAACACACTACCCACTTGCACCTCTCCCGAGGGCCTTGGCGTCTGGACCTGTGCTCCCTCCATTTTCCCAACCGGGCTCACGGGACCCCCCCCCCCCTTCTGCTTCGGACTCGCCGATCTATGCATTTTGGCAGAGCTGGCCAATCCCCATCCTTGCTGCAGGGACTGGAACACGACCCCTGGCATGGCCAGGTGGCAGATTCACTGCAGGAGGTGGTTCCTGGCACACCTGGGAAAGTGAAGTTCCATGTATGCAGAACTCGAGGGAGGCGATGGGGATGGAAGCTGGGGGCTGGGGGGATGGAGTGTCAAAGGGTCTGCTCGATGGTGCCACTAACATAAAGGGAGACTGAAGGGGTGCATCTTGAGCCCCAGCGTCCAGTCGACCTCAGACTTCGCAGTGACATGACCCAATAAATTCTTATTTTGTGTAAGCTGTTTCTAGTTGAGTTTTTGGCCACTCGTAATCTTTTGTCTGTATTCCCAGCAAATATCCACTCCAAACAGCAGAAATTCCAACCCAGAAATCCCAGGGTAACAAGAGCTTTAAAAGGAGCTTCTGCTTAAACACTGGACACTAAAAGGTGGCTGTATTTGGTGACAACAAAAATGTAAGGCATGGCAAAATTCACCATAAATAAAAGTCAAAAGGCACATAAAAGATATTTGCAACATGTATGAGAGAAATGGGATGAATTTCCCAAATATATAAGAACTCTTAAAAGTCCATTTTAAAAAGCCCAACTGCCCAGGGGCACCTGGGTGGCTTAGTTGGTTAAGAGTCCAATTCTTGATTCCGGCTCAGGTCACGATCTCATAGTTTGTGAGTTCAAGCCCTGCATCTGCTGGTCAGGGCAGAGACTGCTTGGGATTCTCTCTCTCTCTCTCTCTCTCTCTGCCCCTCCCCCACTTGCCCTCTATCTCTCTCTCAAAATAAATAAAAACTTTTATTAAAACTTTAAAAATTAAATAAAAAATAAAAGCCCACTACCCAACAGAAAACAACAACAGACACTAATGTGTGGCTCACAGCAATAATAATAATATACACAGCATATAAACACAAGAGAAGATATTCAGTCTCACTAATAACTAATGACATAAAAATTAAAGCAATAAAATATTTTTACCTATCGCACTGACAAATATTTTAAAATTGTGTTATGCCTCCGCATTGGCAAGACTGTGGGAAAACAGGCAGATATATAAACTGCCATAATCTCTTTGGGGGACAATAACCCCCCCCATCAAACAAAAATTGGTTTTATGAATGCTGTGCAGACTGCACCAGCAAGCCCATTTCTAGGACTTCATTTCACAGATATATGTTCCCTTAGGGGAGAAAAGCCTGGAAGTCACCATCAGGCAAAAAGAATGAAGGCAATCTTCATGCGCTGTCTTGATTCCAAGAATCTCCATTTCTTGGAAAGATCTCTAAGAAATATACAATTGGGCTAAAACATGGTACGGTGAGGGGCCCCTTTCCACAGGAAGCTTCTGTGTATGTGTGTATATTCTTTTTGTTTTTAATGGCTCCTTCTGAACAACACAGGCAGATTGAAGCCACATTTGGGGCTTTTTTTTTTGTTTTTTTGTTTTGTTTTTTGCAGCTTGAATTTTTGTGTCTATTGTCTTTACTCCCAGAATAGTCCTGGAAAAAGACCGTTCTTCATTGTCTAAATACGTGCTTCTCTAACTCCATGTGCATATGGGTCACCTGGTGCTCTTGTTAAAATGCACGCTCTGAATCACCAGGTCTGTGTTGGACTTGAATTTTGGTGTTTTTCTAAGAAATTCCCGACTGACGCTTTGAGTAGCAGGGATCTAAAACACGAGTTCTCAGTTACAGGTGCACAATGGAATCACCTGCAGGCTACATAATGTGATTCCAGTTTTAGGACATTCTGGAAAAGGCAAACCACGGAGATGGTCAAAAGATCAGTGGTCGCCAGGGGCTGGGGGAGGGATGAACAGGTGCACCAGGGATTTTTAGGGCAGTGAGAGTATTCTGTATGAAAGATATGACACTGCACATTTGTCAAAATCCATAGAATGCACCCCGTCCAGAGTAAACCCTTATGTAAACTATAGACTTTAGTCAATAATCATATATCCATATTGGCTCATCAATGATAACGTACCTAACTCCACTAATGTAAGATGTTAATCCCAATGGAAACGGGGACATGATGGGGGGGTGTGAAAACTGTGTGTACCTTCTACATGTGTTTTCTATAAACTACAACTTCTCCAAAACATCAAGTCTATTCATTTCTTTTTAAATATATCAGTACAATGCCTGGCCACCAAGCACAAAGACTCAGATTTCATTTGTCTGGGTTGCAACCTAGGCATCAGAATTTTTTAAAAACAAAACCAAAAACACCACCCCAGGTGATTTTCTTTTACAGGTAAGTTTGTGAGCTACTGGTTTGGAGATGGGCTTGTTAACCGTCACTCAGCTCCACCAAAAGTGTGTGGCAAAGCCAGCCTGGGGGCTAACCAGATTGAGTCTTGGCAGAAACCTGACTTGCGGGTCAAGCTGAGCAAATACTCCCCCAGATACACGGTCCTCAAACTCCTGTGTGCATCATAATCCTCTGGAGGGCTAGTTAAAACACAGATTGCTAGTTAAACCCAGAGCCCAGGGTCTGTGATTCAGTACCTCTGGGGCGAGGCCAGAGAATCTGCATTTCTAAATTCATTTTTATTTCTTTATTTGTTTTAGTTTTTTAATGTTTGGTTTGTTTTTTTTTTATTTTTGAGAGAGATAGAGAGCTGGGGAGGAGCAGGGAGAGAGGGAGACACAAAATGTGAAGCAGGCTTTAGGCTCTGAGCTGTCAGCACAGAACCTGACACGGGGCTCGAATTCACAGACTGCAAGATCACGACCTAAGCCGAAGTCAGATGCTTAACCGACGGAGCCCCCCAGGCGCCCCTGAGAAGCTGCGTTTCTAACAAAATCCCAGGTGATGCTGCTGCTGCTGGTCCCGGGGCCACACCTGGAGAACGTCTACCGCAGACACCATCACAGCCTTGTCAGTATCTAATGCCTTCAAGGGGGGTGGGGGGTAAGTAAAAGGAAGGAGCTGTGGGCTTTATAGCTGCACCCTGCCATCTCCCTGGGTTGCCCCGGGGCTGGGACAGGGATCTGGGGCCCTGGGCCCCAACAATTGCCCTTGGGACTAGACGGCTGGGCAACTGGCAGGAAGACAGTCTGCTTCTGAACAATCTCTTTCCAGGACCATTCTGGAAGTCAAGAAAACAGATACAAAACTTCAAGCTGCTGTCTCTCCCCAGGCCTGAAACCCCAGCCCCAGAGACAAAGCAGCCCATTGTTTTGCCTTCAACTAACCCCCCGCCCCCAATAAACTGCAACTGCCTGACCAGGAAGCCAGGAAGCCGTAGAAATTATCAACAGACGCGGGCCACCCCCTCCCATCCTATTCCCTGCAGGGCTAAGGATTTATAGGACGCCGCACCAGCTGAGCACTTGCGGCAGAGTCCTGGGCCTGTGAGATCTGAGCAAACGCAGGGACACATGTGAAGGAGGAAGAGCTACTTCCACAAGTCTTTGAGAGTCTCAGTCTCTCACCCACCAATCAGTAAGGAAAAGATAAGCAGCCCAACAAAAAGGGGCAGAAGAACAGACTTGGCCCAGAAGGAGATAACCAGATGGCCAATAAGCACATGGAAACGTGTTCACCACCATCCGCCGTCAGGGAAATACACATTTAAAATGCGAGGGGCGCCTGGGGGGCTCAGTCGGTTAAGCATCCAACCCTTGATTTCAGCCCAGGTCATGATCTCACGGTTCTTGAGTTCAAGCCCCACATCAGGCTCTGCACTGGCAGAGTGAAGCCTGTTTGGGATTCTCTCTCTCTCTCCCTCTCTCCCACTCTCTCTGTATCTTTCAAAATAAACACTTGAAATGAAATAAAATGAAATGAAATGAAAATATAAAATAAAATGCGAGCTACCACAGCAACCCCACCAGGATGGCTCGGATGGAAAGGAATGAGTACATCAAGAACCAGCAAAAAGCACCCACATTTCTTGAGCACCGCTCAGGGAGTAGATAGGTACTAGCACTCTGGAAAAGTGCTTGGCGGTATGTTTCGTAACCTCCCCATGACTCATTCTGCATTCCTGGGTATAGAGCCTACAGAAAATTGTGCTTGTACCCACCAACAGACATGGATAAGAATGTTTTGAGCAGCTTAATCAAAATAGCCCCGAACTTGAAACAACCCAAACGTCCACCCGCAGGAGAACAGACATGTGCGTTGTAGCCTAGTTAAACAACAGAACTTTCCGGAGCAATGAAAAAGAATGAACTGCCACTACGCGCCTGTACACGGATGAATCTCATAGTCGAGAATGAAGTCAGATGCCAAAGACTATCTGCTAATTGGATCTGTTTGTAGGCAGATGCGGACACAAAACTAACTTTCACCGCTCAAAGTTAGGTAGCGTCTCTCTTTGGGGAGGGAGGACCACAGGAGCAGAGGACATGGGAGCTTTCTGGGGTGATCGAAATGCTCTATGCATTCACCTGAGGGTACACATTTGTAAAAGTCCACTGAAAAACCCATTTAAGATTTGTGCACTTTACCGTACATAAATCCAGCTCACGAAAGGAAAAAGAAATACTGCATAGCTGAAAGACATCTGAAATGTGATTTGATTTCAGTCTACAGCTCTTTTCTCCCCAACCCCCAAGCTTATGGACTAGGCAGAACAAAGCCTCCGAGGTGCCTTCTCTGTCCCCAGCCACGGCCTCAACGGGATTCCCTTCAGTGGGCACCGTCACCTGCTGGTGAGACAAGCCTGCATGTGACCTCTCTGGTCCGGCTGGGAAGCAGGGACCCGCTGAGACAGGCGGGTACCCTGGGCAGCTAATCGTTTCGCATTCCGCCAAAGGCATGCTCTCTAGAAATGTTTCCCGCTGCTCGTGGTTGGTAAAAGAACTAAAAAGGTGGACTGCTGCTGGGACGGTCAGCCTCTCCCTTTTTTGTCCCCAGCAATTCTGCTCTGGCCCCAAACTTGCTGGCCCCACGCAGCGAGACAGCAGCCATGCGTGAGACCTGGGCACATCAGTACTGAGGCAAGTATTGTCCTCCCAAAAGTCATGGCCAGCCCACAGCTCTGAGTGTGACCTTAGCTGGAGGTGGGGTCTTTGCAGAGGTAATACATTAAAATAAGATGAAGTCATACTGAATCAGGGCGGGCCCTAATCCAGCAACTGCTGTCTTTCTACAAAGAGAAAACAGAGACACACACACACAAGAAGACATGGAGACGGCAGCAGAGACTAGAGTCATGGAATGCCTGAGCCCCCGGAAGCTGGGAGAGATGTACGGAAAGACCCCCTTTCAGAATCCCCCAGAGAAAGCAACCCTGTGGTCACTTTGATTGTAGACTTCTGGCCTCCAGAACCGTGAGACGATAAATGTCTACTGTTCTGAACCACCGAGTTTCTGGTAATGTGACACATACAGCGGTCCCAGGAAACCAACAGAGCATCATCCCTTTAATGCCCATCGGGTGCCAGGGTGGCTCAGTTGGCTAGGTGTCCAGCTTCAGCTCAGGTCATGATCTCACGGCTCCTGAGTTCGAAACCCGCGTTGGGATCTCTGCTGTCAACACAGAGCCCACTTCGGATCCTGTTTCCCTCTCTCTCTGCTCCTCCCTCCACCCCCCCCACACTCTTTCAGTAAATAAACAAACAAACATAAATAAAAAAGAAAGAAAGAAAGTTTAATGCCCAGACCACTGGTTATTCCTGGAGCAGGCTTCTTAGAGGTCCTACTAGTACCCTACTTAGTTTTTCAAAAAAATATCTTCCAACCGGATGTGTTCTGCAAACACCATGGTCAACATCTTGTTATTTTTCTCCGCTAAAAAGCTTTAGTGCCTTTAGTTACTTAGGGTTGTTGCTGTACCGAACCTCTCTTCTGGGAAGCCCAGAACTAGGTCAGCTGGAGCATAAGCAAGCACGTGACAATTACTTCCTGTCTGTTATGAGAGCCTACTGTGTGCCAGAGCTCCCGGCTCTGACCCTCACACACACAGCACCCCCCCCCGCCCCCCGGCATCGCCTCACTAACCACAGGAGCCACCAGCATCAGATGGGATCCGGCTGGTTGAAGGGCACTGCCCAGCTGCCCTCCCTCTGAAGGCTCCGAGATGAAGAGGCAAGACCAGGCTGGGGTCCTGGCCACCTCCCAAGTCAGTGGCTGACACCGAGGCAGGGCATGAAGCCACTCACCGGGTCCTTATTCTCTTGGTCTGTCCTGGTCTCCCTGATGTCCCCGTTGTAGGCAGAGGTCCGCTGCTCCTCGGCCGCACTCCGCTGCTGCCACAGTATGGCCTCTCCCTCATACTCCTTCCGGTACAGGTTGGTCCTGTCCGACAGGCTGGCTCGCCGCACCACCTTCCTGAGGGGCGAGAGGAGGTGCTAGAAGGCCATGCCCAGGTGCCACAAGCAGGGGCATCCCGAGGGGGCCCCGGCTGGCCGGCCCTGACTCACCCACGGCTCCCCGCGCTGGATGTCCTCCGGCTCAAGGAAGATTTGTGTCTCAGCTGTGACTTCATGATCACATCATGCTTGTGTTTTAGCTCCAGCAGCAGGACTTTGAACTCCTCCTCCTCACACAGGTCTGAAGGGGCAGAGAAGGCTGCTGTGGGGAGCAGCGCAGGGGCTGGTGGCCCCCAAGGGCCCTTCAGGCCACAGTAGCTGCCACCCCGACACACTGAGAACTCCCAGCATCTTTTGGGGCATCCCGGGAGGAAAGAAAATAATGCCAGCCTTACTTTCTGGGCTACACCCCAATCCTTAGAGGCTAAGAACAGGAACCCCAGGATCTGTACAGTCACAACTCCTAATGTTCCCAGCTATGGGAAGATCCATCCCCCTTGTAGTTTCCAACAGGACTCATCAACTCTCCAGTGATACAAGAAGTATGAAGAGAAACAAGCAAGTACTCTACGTAGCCCAAGCCCAAAATTATATGTCTATCAAATCACATATACCTACCCATTCAATCCACCTAATCATTTCATTCATCTATCTTCTTGTTCACTGACCCATCCATCCATCAAGAGATTCATCTCTACCCACCCATCCACTTATTCATCCATCTATCCAACCATCCAGCCGTCCGTTCATCCATCCAGCCGTCCGTTCATCCATCCAGCCATCCGTTCATCCATCCAGCCGTCCGTTCATCCATCCATCCATCCATCCATCCAACCTTCCATCCATACATTCAACCACTTATCCATACATGTATCTATCCATCCATCCTGCTGTCCATCAGCACATTAATCCACCCTTCATTAATTTATTCATTCATCTTATCCATCCACACACCAATCCATCATCTAGCCAACTGTATATTTATCCAATTATCCCACTATCCATCAAAGAATTAATGAGTACCTATGTGTGTACTAGCTTTTATGCTGAACTTACCTATTGGCATCTCATCCATGGATGTCCTCGCGCTGAGACTGGCCCCATGGGACACCAATAGCTCTGCCATCTGCATCTGAAACACAGGAAGAAGCCCATGTTCCCCTTGGGCTCAAAAAGCCTAGAAGGTACAGGAGTGACCAATGTTTCTCAGGATATGACATAAAGAATGATGGGGCAGAGTGGGTTCCCAGGAAAGGCTCTGCACCCTGGAGCCAGGAATCCTGGCCACACAATGGGCTTGACACCTCCCCCAGCATGTCTGGGCCATGCCAAGGGAGAGAAGGAGTCAGCTATAAATCGAGAGCTGCCAGGTATCTAAGGAGGGATGGCAAAAGTTATAATCAGAGTTTTGTATCTGGGAGTCAAAGGGAGTAATTACTCACATCAGAAATGTAAGGAATTTTCTAATTTGGCAAACTTGATGGTCACCTTCTTAGGACACAACTTGTCAAAGGTTTTTGTAAACCCTCAAGGTCCTTTCCTATCCCACAAACTAGCCGTAGTCAATACCTTAGGTGGGTCTTGTGAACCAGCTGCCAACCCAAAGGACAGTGTGCTGGTCCTGTGTACCCCCACTCCCAGCCCAATGGCAGAGAGCTACCTGTCCCCAGAAGGCAGCTGCGTGCAGGGGCTCCCAGCCATCCCAGTCCTTCACGTCCACACGCACTCCATGGTCCAGTAGGAGCTCGGCCGCCCGCAGGTACCCGTTGGCTCCAGCTATGTGCAGCTGAAGGAGAGGAGGAAAGTGAGCATTCCCTATGGGCACCAGTCCCACTTCTTCCCAAATCCCAGCTCATTCCTGGGGGATGGTGAATGGAATAGAATGAATTGGAAATCCAGGCCCATTACAAAGTATTATTGAGACCACCTTTCATCCCGTGGTGGGGTTGAGAGCCCCTGTGGTTAAGGCAAAAGTACTTACTGAGTCCCTACCATTTGCAGAGCTCTGAGAAAGGGGTTTCAGAGGCCCAACATGGTGGTTTTAAAATGCTTACAAACTCGTTGACACACCTCCCTGAAGAGATGAAGTTTAATTCCTCTCCCCTTGAATGTGGGCCAGAACAAGTGACTCGCTTCTAATAACACATTGTGAAGTCATGGTGTGTGAGTTGTGAGGTGAGGTCATACGAGGCATTGCTGGTTCTACCTTATGCTCTCTTGGCTCAATCACTCTAGGAGAAATCAGCCATCATGAGTGCAGACCCTTAAGCAGCCCTGAGGAGAGGTTGTACAGAGGTGAAAAACCAAATCCTCCTGCTAACAGCACTAACTTGTGAGCCATGTGAGTGTGCCATCTTGGAAGTGGATCTTCCAGCCCCAGTCAAGTCCTCAGATGCCTGCAATGTCATCAGAGGCCCTAACCAGAGCTACCCAGCGAAGCTTTTCCCAATTCCCTACCCACAGAAACCATGTGAGATAACAAATACTTATTGTTGTTCTAAGATGCTAAGTGTTGGGTCGTTTGTTACACAGCAATAGGTAACCAATACATCCAACAAGGGAAAGCCTCATGCTGAGACCACACTTGTATACCCAGCACCATTCAAGGCCTCTGGGGATGGACACCACCTTGCAGACCTCAAATATCCCATCTGCTTGATCTCCAGAAAATATATATAGTGCTTAGCACATGACAAACACTCAGTAAGTGATGTTCTTGGAGGGCCATGAGTGATGGTAAGGTGCATCATGGGAGGAGAAGGAGTAAGGAGATGAGGGGAAGAGAAACCAACTGCCCAGCCAAGGTGGGAGATAGAGGTAAGATGCTAAGGACGCCAGAAGAAGACTGCTAGGAGGAAACCAGAGAGCTTGGTGGGGGGGGCGGGGGGGAGGGGGGATTCAGGTCTGGGGCCACCGAGCTCCAGTCGGTGGGACAGAAAAGGCATGGTCCCAGGAAGTGGCCCTTCAGAACACAGCCCTGATGGCCAGATGCTGCCTCACCTCAGGGTACGGTTGCTTTGAGGTTTGGCAAATAGAGGTTTTGCTTCATTTTTTAATTTGCAGAAGAAACCCAGGGTGCGATCTGGTACAGGCATACATGAAAATTAGAATCATCTGATTTATAAATGTGTGATGTTCACCAGTTGTGGAGAATGACACCAAGCAGGCCAGCCAGACATTATAAATTGTGGGGCCTTGTACTCGGCTGGGGACAAAAAGGGTTAGTGATATAGCTAGTAATAGCAATAGCACTGGGGCACCTGTTAGTTAGTTAGGCATCGGACTCTTGGTTTCAGCTCAAGATCTCACAGTTCGTGGGTTTGAGCCCCGCATCAGGCTCTGTGCTGACACCACAGACCTACTTCGGATTCTCTCTCCCTCTCTCTGCCCCTTCCCTGAGTGCTCTCATTTTCTCTCTCTCTCTCTCTCTCTCTCTCTCTTTCTCTCTCTCTCAGACACAGACACACACACACAGACACACACACACACAAATAAATAAACTTTAAAAAATAATGTTAATCACTAACATCTATGGCGAGTTTAGACTCTGTGCTAAGCACCTATATGCAGAATCTCCCAACCTGGTGAGGAAGGTGCTAGTAGTATCCCCACTTTACTGGGAAGACCCGAGCCCTAGTAGGGGCCCGGCCCATGTGGTCTGGGCCACCCTGAGGCCAGCCTCAGCCCAAGAGGAGAAGGGCCCAGTCACACACCCAAAGGAGCTCCAGCCAGGGTGGGCCATGCCCTGGGGCAGCTTGGCTTTGATTTCATACTGCAGTGTTTGGTCTCACTGCCTGACTCTATCTTTTAGTGCTGGGCTGAGCAGGGACCCAGTTAGCAGGAAAAGTCATGAGGCAGAGGGTGGGGCTCAGGAACCAGGTAGGAGAAGCCCAGTAACCACACCTGGGCCACCAGGTCAGGCCTGAGGGGCAGTGAGGGGTCTAGCTGGTGAGCCCCAGCTGGTGAGCTCAGGATTCTGAGAGCCCTGAGTACTCATGACCAGCACGGACCCCAAGCCTAGGCCAGAGTTCAGCCATCAGCAAGTGGCAGGGGAGAAGAGGGGATGGGTTTCCAAGGCTATGCTCTTGTTTTCAGTTTAGAGCCTCAGAAGCAGGCCCTCCCCAGTACTCGGGTGCATTGTCCTATGAAAGCCTATGAAGAGAGGTCAAGGTTTCCAACCACTGACACAAGCTGAAAGGATGAATGGAGCCCATCAGGCAGATCTGAGAGAGAAGGTTCATCGTTCTAGTTCTGCAAACTCTAGTAAAGCATGTGGCACAGGGGCGTGTGTTGACTGGATGGATGAATGATGGATGGATGAATGAACCAATGGACAGATGGATGAGTGGGGGCTGTGGACTCAAAGGTCAAAGAACCCGGAAGAGAGGCTGTTAGCAGAGAGATTAGGGAGGGCTGATGAGGCAAGCCAGAGGGGCAGGAGAGGAGACCCTCGGGCAGGGGAACGGACGGTGCAAAGCAGGATGGCAGGGCAAGTGGATGAATAACGGACAGTCTCTGAGTGGGAGATACTCCTGGAGGAAGGGGACATAATGAGCTCAGGATGGACACGTGGAGCTTGAGGTAAAGGAGGAAAGTGGACACAGAGCAGCAGGTGGTCAGGAGGGCCCCTGACTTCCAGCCCCAGCTGAAGTGGTCAGATTCTTGAAGGGGCTGCGCCCTGCTCTGCTGACTACATATTCGAGGGCCATCTCTGGCCCCAGAGCAGGTCTGGAGGAGGTTCAAGGCCACGGACAGGCCCCAACTGTATAAGCTTAACCTCCACAGTGGCTGGTCCACTTCAGCCACAGCTGGTCTTGGTTCTGGCACTGACTCCCCCCTCCCTGCCCCCTGCCCAAACCTGGCCCATCTGCTCACCAGTGTGGCCCCCTGGGCATCAATCCAGTCAAGGTCCTGGCCCGCTGCGATCATGCAGTGGATGTCCGCAATCATCTGCTGCTCAGGGGCTGCCCGCATCTCGTTGATTTTCTCTTGGGTGATGCCTGTATAGGGAAGGGGGCACTGAGTCAGCAGCCGGGCCTAGGCCCCAAGGGAGGGTGGGGTGGCCGGGCCGATGGGCGAGGCATAGCTACTGCTCTCCGGGGTCTGCCAGGCAAGGGAGTAGACAGACATGCCCACAGGTCATCGTGTTCCAGGCCCAGTGAACACACACACTGAGCACTGGCCCAAAGACTGAGGGCCATTCCTGCCTGGAGCCCAGCAGGCACTAACATCGGAGTGGTTACTGCTACATATTCTGTTCCTCCACACGGGAGCTCCCTTCCATCCACCTGTCTGCCTGCAACCGCTTGGTCGCCTGGCTCTGTCTTTTCCTGTGGGTCTGGCCGGGATCACCTCCCTTGCTGACGCCCCCCTGCCCAGGCCACCTGTTGGTGGCTCTCTGTTGGTTTCCCTCATCTCTTCCATGGCCGTGCTTGCAGCACAGGGCTCAATGCTTAAGGAATCTGTAACGGGCATGAATGCTTAACGAATATATGCTTTTAAATGGCAAGTGGAGCAAACTGAGGGGGAAGGACCCAGACATTCTATAGCCTGAACCTCTGACTAAAAGTCTAAGTGTTACTGACAATTACTTAACGGTGTTTAAAAAGGCTACAGTGACATGTTCTATAGAATGTCCATTAGATCAAACACTCTTGGGCAGAACTGGGGGGGAGGTCCATAAACTTGAAAGGAGGAAAAAAATTACGTTTCTTCTCACCAACCTTGAAATGAAACACAGCATTACCTTCTATGGGGGACATGGGGAAAATCCACAGGAGAATTAGCAGGTGCCTATGACTCAGTCACCAATAAAAACTGCAGGTATTTTTTTTTTTTTTACTGTTTCACGAATTAATGAAGTTTCTACATAACATGTTTAAAAATATTTTGGTTAGAGGCGCCTGGGTGGCTCAGTCGGTTGAGTGTCCGACTTCGGCTCAGGTCATGATCTCTCAGTCTGTGGGCTCGAGCCCCGGCTTCAGGCTCTGTGCTGACAGCTCGGAACCTGGACCCTGCTTCAGATTCTGTGGCTCCCTCTCTGTCTCCCCCTCCCCTGCTCACTCTCTGCCTCTGTCTCTCAAAATCAAATAAAGACATTAAAAAATGGTTTTTGGTAGCCATGTTTTAACATAACTGGATTCCTTTATAATGCTGGGATTTTGAAAACCACATTTAAAGACACTAACCTGAAGAGGAGCCCCCAGATTTACCAAATTGGTACAGAAAGGAAGCTCCCCTGCAGGAGATGAATAGGGAGAGCCCGGGGCCAGCGACCACATCGGTGGCTACCGCACCAACCGGGAAAGAGACTCAACGGCAGGGTCCCAGGAGGACCCCGGACTGCAGTGGAGGGTCTGGATTTGAGACTTCTTTCCCAGGACGCCTTCGGAAACACGCATTGGTGGTGGCGGGGGTGGGCAGGTCTCTGATTGCTACATTTGTTTCCTCTCTGAAGCTCATTTGTGAGCTGAGAACAGCCCACATCTTGTTTATCCCAGGCCCCTGGCAGCCAGCGTGGTGCCTGGCGCCGAGCGGGCACCCGCCAATGTTCTTGACTCTCGATTATTTTTCCAAATGGGAACGCATCTTTATTGTGAATGTTGACTGAAGTGTCACAGCTGACGAAGAGGAGACGAGGCCAGCTGAGGCCGCCCGCGCACGTGGGTGAGGACATTGCCTCCCCCTGCACCGCACGTTTTCCAGGGGCCTTTTGTGTCCTCGTCTTGCTAAGCACCCGGATCAGAGTAACGCCGAGGACCCGTCCCGCTTCCCGCGCGCTGAGCATGAGGCGGGTGTGCAGCCGGCTGGCGTGGTCGCCGGTGCCCGCGACACAGTGTGCGGCCCCGCCCTTACCCTGGTACGCCATGCATGTCTCGATGACATCCAGGGTGGGCTCATCCTCACAGAGGTCATAGGGCATGTTCCCATCTGAGTTGACAGCGAGTAAGTCGGCCCCACTGCAGAGAAAGAGAGAGTGTAAGGGCCGAGGGAGGGGGTGGCTAGGGTTGGTCTGGCTGCCTCTCCTCCCCCCTCCCCCAGCCTCTCACCCGCAACCCCACTGTGCGCCCCAGCACCCACTACGCCAGCACCTCGCTGGGGCACCCCAGCCAGGACAGCAGCCTCAGGATCCCCGGGGTCCTCGGATGGGAACTCTCAGGGAAGCTGTCCCTAGCAGACCCCCTCCAGCTTCCTGCTCTGTTGGGCCAGCAGGCAGGCACTTGAGGACAAATGTCAAGGTCCTCCTTGGCGCCAATAACACAAATAACACTAATGGCACCACTTAGCATGCATCTGCTTAGAGCCGGGCTTGCTCCAGGCCGTGCACACACACCGTCTTCGTGAATCTCCGTGCTAGTCCTTCTGGGTTGTTATTGTTGACCCATCTCACTCAAGGGGAAACGAAGACTCAGGTAAGTGCAGTCACTTGTCCAAGGTTACCCAGCAAGGATGTGGGAGGGTCAAGGTTGAAACCCCGGCTCTATTTCAGTCCTTGTCCGCCGGCTCTCCCCAACCTTCTCTAAGTCCCGGCCCCAAAGGCTGACAAGACAGGGGCAGGACAGGGCCTTGGGGCTCTGGAAGAACCTGGTTTTTGGCCCAGGGGTTCCCACGCGGGTCCTGAGAGGGATGCCCTGCAGAGGCACCCGGGAATCGCGGAAATACACTGCAGCTTCCTGGGCTCCGCTCAGACCTCCTAAAACACAGTCTCCAGGGGCGGGGCTTCGGATTATGTATTCTGAACCCACGCCCCACATGACTCTGGTACACATCAGAGCTGGGGACCCACCATCCTTGGCTGGCACTCCCCTTCCCTCTGGGCACCATCGCTGATCAGGCTGTGGCCTCTCGATGCCCCTGGCCGACCGAGCACAGCCAGGTTCTCATCAGAGGTGCGGCACAGGCCAAGGACAGTGTTCAGACCTCTCTGAGCTCCTGTGTGCCCTTGGGCAAGCTAATCCACCTCTCTGAGCCAGGGCACCAGCACTGTCACCTCCGTCGCCCCCACGGCCACCTGATGGGCTCCTGCTGCTTTGCCGAGGCTCCTGCAAAAGGTCACCTGCCCTTGGCCACTCTTCCCAACTCCCTGCTTGCCGCGGCCTCCCGGGACCCACTCTGCCCCTGCCCCACCACTGCAAGTGCCACTTTTCCTGCCTGGTTCCTTAGGACCCCTGCACCCGAGTGCCCAGTGCCCAGCTCACGCGCCCGCCAACTGTCAGATGAATTCAACCGAATACACCTGAAACTGAATGTTGTCTTTTCTGTGTGTTTACAGAACCTGAGCGGACTGGAAAGCATCCCAGGGCAGGAAAGGACCATCAGAAGAGCATAGGCATGGCCGAATTCCTAGGAAAAACACTGCCACGTGGTACCCCTCAAGGTAGGTTCTATCCCAAAGAAAAGCACATAAATAACATTTGAGGGGCAGGGCCAAGGAAGTATGCTTTTTTTTTTTTTAAATAGCAAAAAACAAACAAAACTGGCAACGAGACCCAAAGAGAGAAGAGGTGAAGGATATAAATAAATTCATGGACCCACAGAGACCGAGAAAACGAGATTTTAAAAAAAGAGAATGCTGCCCTGATACAAAGCCAGACCAAGACCCTACAGGAAATGAAAACTACAGACCCATATCCATTATGAACACGGATGCAAAAACCCTCAATAAAATACTAGCAAACCCCACTCAGCAGCAGAATGAAAGGATTACACACCAAGACTGATCAGGGTTATTCCTGCAAGGCAAGGACGGTGAAGCTTATGTTGTGTGTAGTATTTTGGGGAAGCAGCAGGGAGAGACAGAATGGGGAGAGACAAGAGTGGGAAAGGAACACAGAGATGGAGGGAGGAAGGAAACCGGGGGCCAGAGGAAGAGAGAGAGAAACAGACACAGAGGTGAGGGGAGGGTGTGGGGAGAAAGACACGAGGCACCACGAGAGGCAGAGAAAGTGGTGCCGCCGGAGGAAAAGGAGGGAGGGGATGCGGATGGAAGGCAGAAACAAGACAAACAGAAAACCACCAAAGGCAGAGGGGAAGCTGTCCCTGGGGAAGAGGGGGTCACGTACTACTGAACGAGGATTTTCACCAGGTTGATGTGGCCGCAGGTGGCCGCGGCATGCAGGGGTGTCCACAGCTCGTTGTCCTTGGCATTCACGTTGGCACCATGGGAAAGGAGCAGCTTGACAATTTCCTCAAAGTTGTCGATGCAGCACTGTGGGGGGTGAGGGGGGATACAGGGTCAACTTCAACAGGGTCCAGGCCTTTGGGGTCGGGGGAGGACACACCAGGTTCCCCTCGAGGCACCACGGAAAGGACAGTGCAGCCAAACTGTCTGAGTTTGGATCAAGCTGCATTTCTCACATGCTGTGTGACCTTGGGCAAGCCACATAGCCTCTCTGAGCCTGTTTCCCCACAAGGAAGTTAATAACACTCAAGAGAAAAATATAAGTGAAATATAAAAAATACAAGGGGCAGCAAGAAAATACTTTGTGAGTGGTGGAAACCAAAGAAAATTCTGAAGCAGGTTTCAAAATCTTATTCTTTTTTAAGCCCCAAGTAACCAAGCCTCCCCCCAATGAACTCTCCTCCACATCAGGGCTCTGGGGACCCGGACAGAGTCCCTGAAAGGACACAGCCATGTGTATGCTCCTGCACATTTAGGTCAGCCCTGGGGAGAGGGAAGGCTCGGGAACCTGTAGCCCCCCAGGGAGACAGAGGCCTGACAGCCACCAGAGCCCCCAAACTCTAGGGACAGAGGGTGAACGATTCCAAGGGGACAGGGCGGGGGGGGGGGGGGGGGGGGGGGGGGGGGGGGGGGGGGGGGGGGGGGGGGGGGGGGGGGGCCTCAAGCCAGGGCCATGAGCAGACAGAGGTGAGGACAGAGGAGGAAGAAGACAGGGAGTCACTTTATAGACCAGGATGGAAAAGCCAGCAGGGGACAAAGCAGGCGTCTATGCTCAGTACTGCCCATCCAGGTAAGGGCTTGGTGCCCGGGCAATGGGAGACATCGCAGAGTTATACTCAGAGGACCAACATAAGCACATTTGTCTTTTTTTTAATCCTTCCTCTGGGTGCATGTGAAGAATAGGCTGCGTGTGAGCACTTTTTGAGGAAGAGAAGGACAGTGAGAAGCTATGTTGAAATCATCCAATTAAGAGATGATGGTGGCCAGGCCTGTAGGACTATCTCTGGCCATGGGGAGAAGTGACTGGATGCCAGCAGAAGGATCAGGGGCACTTTGGGGAGCCCATAGCCCTAGGGGGGATGGGGATGGGGATAGGGTGGTACCATGGCCCCCCACCCCATCCCCAGCAGAGCCAGGGTTCAGTGCCAGGAGGACATGTGGGAAAGGGGCAACCATTTGCACAAATGCCAGAGATCCCGGTTCTCCTTCCAGCCGGTCTAGAGTTGGCCGGGTCTGAGGCCATCGCTCCGGACAGGTGGGGCACTGGTGTGACGCCAGGAGGGGTGTGCCTCGGGTGGTTGAGAACCATGCAATGGCACAGCATGGCCAGCAGAGGGTGCCAAAGGCACCAGAGGGAGGCGGTGGGGACCTGCAAGGGGCCCCTGTCCCTGGGAGGTGAGTCTGGGGAGTCCCTGTCCGCAGGAGGAGCAGGTCAGCCTCTGTTGTCAGGGGGCAGCAGGACCAGAGAACCCACCCTTAGGGCTGCAGAGGATGGGGTAGCGGAGGAGCTCAGGTTGAAAGGGAAGGGGGCTGTGCACCCAGAATTGCAGCCTTACGAGAGGGATGCCCAGGGACTGGACCAGCCTGCACCTGGAAGGCTCAGCCAGAGCAAGGGTGGGGTTTGGGGTGCACGTTGGGGGGGAAGGTGGCGGGGCGGGCAGGCCTCCTCCCCTACATTCCCCAAGGTGGGAAATGGCACCTACAGTTGGATGACTCCTCCCGCCCCCTCGCTTCCCACATCCAGACTCTCATGGGGTGTGGATGCATCTAAGTGGCTGCCCCCAGCCCCACAGCCCTGGTGCGGCTTCGTCATCTCTCCCTGCCTCCCCGTCGCTCCCTTTCCCACACCCTCAGCTCATAGAGCTCCTCGTCAATCCATCAGTCCCAGTTTACAAGCCCCAGAGGTTCCCTGTTGCCAAGGGGAGAAAAGCCACACTCCTTTGCCAGGCATGCAAAGGCGCTTCCAGCATTTGTTGGATGGAGCAGCAGTGACAACAGTAATGACAGCCCGGCAGTAGAGGTAACAGCCTGTCACATTATCAAATAACCCCGGCTAGCGCTTTCTGAGGTGCTCCTAGGGCCACCTTGCTAACTTTTGGCCACGAATCGCCTCTTTCAATGCTCAGAAGAATATTCTGAGTGCCCCACAGCCCCATGAGCCTGCATGGGACATCCCATCAGCCTAGAAAATTCTACCAGACAGAGCTGGCCCTGAGCCTCAGTTTCTTGAGCTACATAATGGGGATAATAATATTTCAAAGGGCTGTTGAGAGGATCAACCTATACTTCACGTAAGTGGCTCTGCACAGAAATGAACAAGGTGACAAATTTCAATAATGACAATGCTGTCTAATATTTATGCAGTGTCAGGAGATGCTTGAAGGGCTGTTATGTGTATTCGTTTAATCCTCACAACAACCCGGTGAGGTGGGTACTTATTATTTTACAGATGAGGAGAGTGAGGCACAGAGAGCTTAAGTAACTCGCCCAAGGTCACACAGCTAGAATCAGTGGATGCATGAAGCCCTGTGGACAGGAAGAGGAGCCAAAAGGACAGATAGGAAGCCACTGGGCTGATGGCTGGGGGTGGGGCTTGCTCCTGGGGCTCATGGTGGGGCAGGAGCCAGTCTCTGGCCATCCCTTCCTGCCCTCATGAGGACATGGAGAGGCTCTCCCAAGCTCGGGGTTCAGGCAGCCTGGGCTGCATTCAAGTCCATCTGCTCAGAAACTTGGGCCAGGGCACCGGGAGGCTTCCGTGCGTTCAAGTCAGCATGCACATATCGAGCACCTACTGTATGCCAGCATGGGGAAAGATGGTAGGACATACCAACGGGCAAGAGGCATGGGCTCTGCCCTCACGAGGCTGTCTGGATAGAGGGAGGCCGCCATCAAATGGCTAAAATGGCTACCGGAGCAGGGGCCCAGAAGGAAGGGACAGTGTGTAACAGGGCAGCTCTCAGGCGCTTGCTGCAGACTGGGGCTAACCAGGGCGCATCCCCACATGCCGTGCGACGTGTGTGCAAGGGACAGGAAAGCCACATGGCTGGAGCCTGGAGAGGCGGGAGGCATGGTCAGGGGCCAGGCCGCGAGGCGCATGGTGGGAGGACGCCAGGGTGGCCCGAGCACCCGAGGGCACTGCGTGAAGGATGAAACACGGCAGGGCAACTGAAGGCCGGGGACCCGCCAGGAGGCTCTCGCAGCGGCCGGCTGGGCGATGACAGCCAGAACAGCCCCTCTCCGGCCAGCGGTGGGGGGCTGGCCCACCGCGCTGCCCTGGAAAGGGAGTGTGCTACCGTGGCACCCGGCTCAGGGCCACAGACCACGGCTGTGTGACCCCAGGCGGGTCACGTGGCCTCCTGTCACTCACCCTTCCCACCAGGGTGGATGGATGCCTGGGTGGGCGGGAGCAAACGTGCCTTGCAAACTTCACGCTCCGAACAAACTTGCCTTGTGTGTCGAGCCCTCTGCTGGGCGGAGGGGATGCCGCGGACAAGGGCTCCCTGTGCGGGAGGCCATGTGTGCGCCGCACGTGCGCGTGCACGGGGGCTGCAGGGGCGTGCTTGTAACAGACACGCGCATCTCCGGAGTAGACAGGTGCCTTTCAGCTGCGGCGGCTCCCCTTCCTCCCTCCTCCCTGAGGGCTCTGGGCAGGACGAAGGCGGGAGGCGGTGGAACCGTTCAGGTGGGGGCGCAGGGATGCCGGGACCCCCGCGGGCCCGCCTTACCTGGTGCAGGGCTGTGAGTCCATCCTCGTTGCACAGATCAGGGCTGACCTTATTCTTCAGGAAGTAGCGCACTGCAACAGAGGGCACGGGAGTGAGCAGGTGTGCGAGGGGCCCAGGTAAGACCCACCTGTCCCCAAGTCTCGATGCTAACGTCCTCTTCACCCTTTACAGCCGGCGCAGGAGACAAGCGGGAACAGCTCCCCACCAGGCAGGTGAGGAGGCTGCTGTGGGGAAACCAGGGGTGACCTGGGAAGGGCAGGGAGAAGGCGGCCGCTTCTGCAGGACGAGTATGGGGTCAGCACCCCCAGGTGGTGGGGGCGGGGGAAAAGACGAGGTCACAGGTGCAGTGGGGCCTGTGGCCTCCGTGGCCCAATGCGAACTGAGTCCACAGGAAGGGAGTCAGAGGCTCCCACCCAGCCTTCTGGCAAGCGGTGGTGTCTCCAGCAGACGGGGGTTAGGACGGGCAGGGGTCTAGGGGGGATATGGTCTCATTCTCTGGAGCTCCCTGTCCACCATGGAACCACCAGCCACATCTGGCTATTACAGCTTTTTAAACTTACATTCATAAGGATTCACAATTCACGTCCTTGGTCACGCTGGCCACATTTGAAGTGCTCAAAAGCCACACGTGGCTACCATATTAGCAAGTGCAGAAAGAGAACATTTCCATCGTCACAGAATGTTCCATTGGACAGCGCCGCTTTGGGGCACTATGAATGGAAATGAGCTCCATCGCCAACTGTTAAAAGCCTTCCGTGGCTCCCCAGTGCTCTGGGAAGAAAGTCCTTCCTCAGACATACAATGTCCGCATGATGGGAGCCCTCCTGCAGGCCTCTGTCTTGCACACTCCAGGGGTCCATTCACACTGCCACCTGTAAGACCGGCACCCCCTGGAGCAGTGCGCAACTTGCTCAGAGGTACATGGTGCTCCTACCTCTCCAGTCTCACTTCTTAAATTCCAAACACTTTCCACAATGGTCTTCCTCAGTCAGAGTCACCTTGCATCCTCTGGTCTCTGAGCTTTCGCATAGCCTGTTCCTACTGCCTGGAAGACTCAATCGTCCATCCATGCGTCCCTGCATTCATCCACACATCCACCATCCGTCCATCCAGCTTCATTCATACATCCACCCCTAACACACACGAGCGCGCGCGTGCGCGCACACACACACACACACACACACACACACCTGCCTCACTCCTCAACCTTCAGGTGCAGCTCAAGCTCCCCAGATGAGGGCGCTCCCCCTGCTACGTACACCCACAGCTCCTCTGCATCTAGTTTATAGCCTTTCACAACCACAATTACATAACTGTCTGGGCCATTAGGGGCGTTGGGTCTGTCTGCCTAGGTGACCTGGCACTTACTGCTCTTTCCCTAAGGCCTGGCACACGGTAAGCTCTCAGCCACTCTTGCTGGACCCTGACCTAATCAGCAGCCCCCTAGCTCAGCCCCAGGACACAGCCTGTCCAGCTCTGAGCAAACCAGATGGCGCTGCAGTCGTGACTCCATGGTGTGCATCTGTCATATGCAGTGCTGCCCACAGGTCCCTCCCAGGATGACCTGGTAGCTGGGCCCAAGAAGACTGACGGCAAGGCCACTGATCACCGAGGCCCAGCCTGCTGGTCCCTGGGCCAGTAGAGATGCCGTGAGGCTGGCAGGTGGCCTTGGGGAGAGTAGGAGCGGCCATTGTGTCCCTGGACAGGATGGATTCTGGGAAGGTTCTGCTCATATGAGGCAAGGGTTCAAATCCCATGGGCAGTGGGGGGTGGGGGGAAGACTAGGTTTCCTGTCCAGAAGACATTCCTGGAGCCAGGAATTAAACACCAGCAGCCAAAAGCACCATCTGTGTGCAGTAATTATTGGGGAGCTCTCTGTGCTGCGCGGGAACCCAAGATGAGGAATGACTCCCATGGCTGGCAGTCATTTTGAGCCCAAGAGGTACGAAGAACTGCCCCATCGCTACAGAGCCCTTCGCATGCACAAGCCAAGGTGCCCTTGGAAGCATGCTCTGCTCCAGCCAGGAGCCTAGCTCCGGGCACGATCACTGGCGCAAAGAGCCCACTACGGGCACCCGGGACACAGCCGGGCCTCTTTGCCTCCGGCTCAGCAAGGAAAAGGATTCTTAATCTACAGTGTCTTCTTCCTGAGCCCTTCCTGTGCCTCCAGGTCTGTCTAGAACCACCCTCTTTCATGGGTTCTTGTCTGTAACTATTCCCCTCATGGAGAAGAGGAGACAAAGGGTCCTAGTCACAGGAAACCAAGCAGAGGAAATGAGACCCCCTGACTCTGAAGCCCTGACTGTTGACTGTGGGGCTGCTCCACTCGGCCCCTGAGGCCTTGTGCAGACAGATGGCGTGGGGAGGAGGGGGACAGGTGAGTGACAGCAGTGGGCTCTGCTTCTGCCAGCACCGGAGGCCCCTGGGTCCCCGGCCAGGCCTCTTCTCCGGCCTCAGGGACCTACACACGGGACAGAGGAAACACTGCAGTTCCGGGGGCACAGTCTGGTCCTTCAGAATCATGTTAAATGTGACTTCGCACCTCTCACTTCCTGTTTAAACCCTCTCGTGGCTCCCCATTGCTCTTAGGATGACGTTCAACAAACTGAGGGCTGATGGGGGTGGGGGGGAGGGGAGGGGGGAGATGGGCATGGAGGAGGGCACTTGTGGGGATGAGCACTGGGTGTTATATGGAAACCAACTTGACAATAAACTATTTGTAAAAAACTGAAAAAATAAATAAAAAATAAAAGAGAAAAAAAAAAGAATGATGTTCAAAATCCTTTTGTGGCCTTCACTGGGGTGGGCAAACTATGGCACACGGGCCAAATCTGGCAGGTACGCTGTTTCTGTAGATTAGGCTGCTTATTGGAACAATAAACATTTCATTTATTTACGTATCACCTATGACTGCTTCCACCCTATAACAGCCCAGTCAAGTAGGGGAACAGAGACCGTATGGCTCACACAGTCTAAAACACTTACTATCTGGCCTTCTACAGAATAGGATTGTACACGCTGGTCTTCGAGGTCCTGCATGGTGGGGTCCCGCCTACAGGGCTGCCACCTCGCACAACTCCAGGGGTACATTCCTCTCATCACAGTCTATGTGCATGGCTTCCTCTGGAGTTGTGCAGTATACAGCTTGCTAAGCTGTACACCTATTCACCCATCTATTTATTAACCAACCTATTCATCCATCCCTTCTCCCTACCTCCCCAGGTTCTCCAAGCACCTTGCACAGTGGAGGAAGCTGGCTTGAGGGTGTCTAAAGGGTTGACTGTGGCTCGGGGAACACAAACACGGGAGGGACATGCTGTCCTCTTTAGCCAGGGGTGTCCACACTTGGTTGCCAACACTTAGGTCGGCTCCCCGCCCCCAAGCTTGACCATCAGTTCGTCAAAGTGGGCCACCTGTTCTTGCACATTTGTTTGGCTGGGGTTTTAAAAGCAAATTATCCCTCCCCTCTGTGCCCTGTGTCCTCAACTGTAAAATGGCCCCTTTGCTGTGAGGATTAAGTAAGAAAATACCTGAAAGTTACTACCACTATTTATTTTTTTTATACTTTATTGTCAAGTTGGTTTCCATATGACCCCCAGTGCTCATCCCAACAAGTGCCCTCCTCCATGCCCATCTACCCCCTTCCCCTCTCCCTCACCCCCATCAGCCCTCAGTTTGTTCTCAGTATTTAAGAGTCTCTTATGGTTTGCCTCCCTCCTTCTCCCCAACTATTTTTCCCCTTCCCCTCCCCCATGGTCCTCTGCTAAGTTTCTCCTAATCCTCCTATACGTGCAAACATATGGTATCTGTCCCTCTCTGCCTGACTTATTTCACTTAGCATAACACCCTCGAGTTCTATCTACGTTGCTACACATGGCCAGATTTCATTCTTTCTCATTGCCATGTAGTAGTCCATTGTATAGATGAACCACATCTTCTTGATCCATTCATCCGTTGATGGACACTTAGGCTCTTTCCATGTTTTGGCTGTTGTTGAGAGTGCTGCTATGAACATTGGGGTACATGTGCCCCTATGCATCAGCACTCCTGTATCCCTTGGGTAAATTCCTAGCAGTGCTATTGCTGGGTCATAGGCGAGTTCTGTTGTTAATTTTTTGAGGAACCTCCACACTGTTTTCCAGAGCGGCTGCACCAGTTTGCATTCCCACCAGCAGTGTAGGAGGGTGCCCATTTCTCCACATCCTCGCCAGCATCTACAGTCTCCTGATTTGTTCATTTTAGCCACTCTGATAGGCGTGAGGTGGTATCTCAGTGTCCCACCATTTATTTTTAAAATACAAATAAAAAACAACCACTAAGTCCTGCCTGATCCTGCCAGGTGCTGGGCGCTGGGGATGTAACTGTCAACATCTTGCATTTCTCAAAAGCTCCCAACCCGGCTGTAAAAGACAGAAGCATCTCTCTCGAGGCAGCTCCATGCATCTGCTGCTTCGAGGACCACAGTGAGGTGGTCCCCACCGCCCCCCATGCAAGCAAGGTCCCACTGAGACGGCAAGGAGGTGGCTCCCGCCCTCCTCTCCTGTATCCCTGCTCCTGGCACCAGCCCTGTCGCTCCGCCCACACCTCCCTGGCAATCTGGCTGGAATCTGGGCCAAGCAGGGCCATCTGCTCCCCTCCATCTCCAGCTGCAGCGAGCGGGGCTGAACCGACCCGTCTCGGCAGGAAGCTGGTGGCGGCTGCCTCTGCAGGGAGAAATTGCTGCTGATAAGTTTGTGACACCCCCCCCCCCCAACACACAGAGCAGACTGCCAGACCTCTAGCGGGTCAGCGGCATGCCACCACAGGTGTGGTGCCTGCTCCCGGCCCAGGATGGAAGGACAGAGGTGTCTGCCCACTGGAGACAGACCTTGGGCAATCCATACTGGCGGAGGAGGGGGGCAGGGGGGCGCTCTGGGGCTGAGGGGCCGCCGCCTGGCCATGTGACTCACACAGTCATGTGTGTGGGGTACACACTCACCGGCCCTCCTCCCCTCCCATCTCACCTCCTTCCCCACCGAGCACCCAGGAACAGGCCACATCCTTCCACTGCCCGAGGCACCACCACCACCGC